GAGAAATCACGTGTGTTGAAGTAGAGAAACCAAGTGTTGAAGGTGGAGAAATCACGTGTGTTGAGTAGAGAAATCACGTGTTGAGGTGGAGAAATCACGTGTGTTGAGGTAGAGAAATCACGTGTGTTGAGGTGGAGAAATCACGTGTTGAGGTGGAGAAATCACGTGTGTTGAGGTAGAGAAATCACGTGTGTTGAGGTGGAGAAATCACGTGTTGAGGTGGAGAAATCACGTGTGTTGAGGTGGAGAAATCACGTGTGTTGAGGTAGAGAAATCACGTGTTGAGGTGGAGAAATCACGTGTGTTGAGGTAGAGAAATCACGTGTGTGAGGTGTTGAGGTGGAGAAATCACGTGTGTTGAGGTAGAGAAATCACGTGTTGAGGTGGAGAAATCACGTGTGTTGAGGTGGAGAAATCACGTGTTGAGGTGGAGAAATCACGTGTGTTGAAGTAGAGAAATCACGTGTGTTGAGGTGGAGAAATCACGTGTTGAGGTGTTGAGGTGGAGAAATCACGTGTTGAGGTGTTGAGGTAGAGAAATCACGTGTTGAGGTAGAGAAATCACGTGTGTTGAGGTAGAGAAATCACGTGTTGAGGTGGAGAAATCACGTGTGTTGAGGTGGAGAAATCACGTGTTGAGGTGGAGAAATCACGTGTGTTGAGGTAGAGAAATCACGTGTGTTGAGGTGAAAATTATGTGTGATTTAACTTGCTAAGAAAGATAAATTGAGTCAACTATATTTGCTGCGTTACTTCCACTGAGTTTATAAGCACGTTATAACGAGGTTAAAGTCTATTTATTCAGCGAGGGTAATTTAAATGGTTATGTTTGCACGCCCTCGTGTTGGTCCTGGCGGTCACAGTTCACAGCGTCCTCTTTAAAGAAGGGTCTCACGGAGGAGGTGGGCCCCAGCCTGGAGCTCTGCACTCAGACCCTCCTCAAGTCCAGAGACAATCAGAGCCACTTAGCTGTACTGTAACATCTTCTGTCTGAACTTTAGGACTGTTCAATCCTTTGTAAGCATACACATGATGCAGTATTGTTTTTTTGTGCTTCTGTCCCATTCATTGTGTCAGTACAGATCTCACACCCATCCACTCCATTGCTTCCCCTTGTTTCAGCCTCACCACCGCAGGGTGGTGGATAGATTTATTTCCCTCCAATCTTTTCCACATCTCTGCCTCTTTGACAACTGCCAGCTTCTCTTTGCAGATCCTGAAGAAAGAAGAAGCCATTCCCTGGCCTGGCACTCTGGCTATTGTTCACTCCTACATCGCCTACAAAGAAGGTGACGATTCTTTGACTCTCTCCGACATCAGCCGGGAAGAATGCTAATAATTTGAGAAACCAACATCATTAACGCAAACTGTGGCCATATCAATATGCAGTCATGTTTAAACAGACCAGACTGAAATGGAGTCACAGGGTTCAATCTAACAAAGTTGGTTGATTAATTTGAAAATGTAGAGATACCTCTAAACAGGTACATGATTTCTTGTGGTGAGACCTGTGGGTTTCGTAAATAGAGCGTTTTGTCTTCTGCAAATAAACAAAACATCTTATCGTAGTGTATTGGACAGGTTTTAATTCTGGCTGAGTTCAGTCAACAATAACAACAACAGTTACCAGCTAATATTTTGGGGGAATATAACTTATTCCTTGACTAGTTTTGTTTTTCCTTTGACTGAGATTCAACTCAAATGGCCAAACTTCTAGTTAACTAAAAACAAAAAGAATGATAGAAACTACGATGAACCGTTGTGTTTTGTGTGCTGCAGCTAAAGAAGAGGAGAAGCTGAAGCTGATGAAGTGGAGTTCTGAACTGAAGCTGGAGCGAGAGCAGCTGGAGCTCAGAGTCAAACAGCTCAGCAACTCCGTAACGGTAAGAAACAAACAGCTTCAAAACTACAAAGAAACAAACAGCTTCAAAACTACAAAGAAACAAACAGCTTCAAAACTACAAAGAAGCAACTGAAGAACTGTAAGAGCACATCATTATGTGATATGCTTACCAGGCTTAAATTATATATGTAAACGCTCACAGTTTAGAGGATAACACATCTTCTGAAACCCCTGAAGAATATCCATTTTTTTAAAGTTTAAGAATCCGTGGTGTAAGAATGTGTTCTCTCTCTCTCCCATCAGAAATGCATGGAGACCAAAAACACGATCCTGGCTCGGCAGAAAGACATGCACCTGTCTCTGGAGAAGGTCAAGCACCTGATCCGCCTCATCCAAGCCTTCAACTTCAACCAGGCTCTGAAGGAGGACGTCCAGGAGTCTGCTGCCACCGTCTCTGAAGCTGTACCAGAAGCAAACTCTGTGGAGAAAGTGAAGGCTGAGAGCTCTTCCTCCTCCACCCCCAAAACCACCAACACCACCACCAACAGCAGTAACAGTAACACTGGTGGAGAGGAGAAAGCAGAGCAGCCCGGAGCGTCAGGGAACATCCAGGCAGCCGGAAACACCGAGAGCAAGGCTGTCGTAGAGGCTACAGAGCTAACAGCAGATAACAGCCCTACTGGAGGGACGGGCATCCAGGCAGGTGATGGTTCAGGGGGAGGGGGGGAGGTTGGGGCGGGGGGTGAGGCTGTGGGAGGCGGTGACTTACCCTCTAACCTTCAGATGGAGGTTGTTTCCAACCCTGAGACTGAGATGGTCGACCTTCCTGCTCCTTCGGGGGTCTCAATGGTCGTCTCAACTGTCATTTCAACGGTCGCAACCACCAACGGTACAAACGGGACGTCTGATCCTCCGGGCAAAGACCCCCGGAGCCCCGAACACAAGAGCCCTGACCCCCGGAGCCCTGAACACAAGAGCCCTGACCCCCGGAGCCCAGAGGGAACCTGCACCACCAACAGCTTCTCTGAGAACAAGATGTCTGGCGTCACCCCTCCAGAGACGGCGGTGGAGAAGAAGCAGGAGGAGATCAGCGATGACAGCAGCAGCAACAACAACAACAACAACAAAACCTCAGAACCCTCCCAGCATTCTTTGCCAGCTCTCGTCAGCAGTTTAGACAATAAGAAGTAATGCCAGGTCTCTCCAGTGGCGGGAATTCAAACATATATATATAAAAAAAAAAAGACTTTGCTTGCGCCCGACGGTGCCCTGAAGTTGCCAATCTGTATAAATGTTGTTTGTTTGCATCGTATTGTCAGACTGTGTCAATGGTAGATATACAGCCCAGGTCACATGACTCTGGCGACGCACCAGTGTCATCATGCCAATTAGTGATAGACGTCCAGTGTGGAGATGCTCAAAGGGAGATTAATTCATCATCACACCAGTGTGTGCCTGTTAACGTGGCCCCTGTGTTCTCTGTTAGGGGTGGACAAAAAACGAGAGCATGGATCCGATCTGTCAGGGGTTACTGGTCTAAAGAAGCAGTGTTGTGATAGAGTAATGAAAAGAGAGCCTGTGCACCCCCTCGTCCCAATGAACCTAAACTTCTGCAACCCTGATACCCTCTTCCTGTGAAAACCCCTGAACCCCAACCCCCAGTCCTCCAACAATCCAATGTCACCTCCCCTATCGTCCGCCGAACATTTAGCTCTTTATTAGCTTCTAAACTGGCTGCTTTTGCAACAATTTGGTCCAGGTCCGTTATCCAATCAGACCGTAAACAATGACCATGGGTTGAGCTAGGTTGTACAAAGTGTCGTTCAAACGCAGAAAAAGTCACCAAAATGATCAGGCGCAGGCGACAGGTCGGGGGGGGGAAGTTGTTGGTGGTACGCGGATTGGTGATCCAGAAGACTAAGGTCACTCATAGACCGAAAGGGGTTCAATATTCAAAGAACAAATACTAGACCTTCTGTTGCAGGACCAAGCATCCTGACACCTTTAAACCAACCCATAACTTCCAAACTAGTGTCCAGCTGTAGACGCGTTCATTCAACCAACATACATGACCTTCCCCTCGAGAAACCAAACATTCCCCATTCATTCCTCCTGAACCCCAAAGGGTTTAGCACACTCCATACATGTTGGGAAAGCTAGAAGAATCGTTGTTTGAAGCGTCCGGACCCCGTTAAACCAACACACCCAACTTTCAAATCAGTCTGTGAACATAACGTCTGTTCATTTATTTCCCCCTTATTTGAACAATGTGATCACATGACTCCTTCTGATGTTACTCCAGATCTGCTGTAAGCTAGCTAGCTAACGTAGCTAACCTAGTCATTTCTGATTTTCTGACAAACACATGAGACGACTAACTCTGAGACAGAGACAGTTGCATCGTTTCTGAAGCTGCAGCGCGTTTGCACCTGTTTGCCACCGTACAGACAAGTTAGCGTCGCACAAAGACAATCTCACTGATGTTTTTAGACTTCTCAAACGGTCTAGAACCAGAAACCGTGTTCATTCAACAACAAAGAACCCCTCTGGTTACTAAAGACGAAACGTAGCTTCGCCAGTTCAAACATCCCGTTCCAACAACCCAAAAACCCTCTCCCAGTGGACCAATGACCAAACCCCCCGAATACTGACCCCCACACCCCTGTTCCCCTGACTTGATGCTGAAGTGTTCGGCGGGACGAGGCCAGCTGTGGCCTCACAGATGTTTCCAGTGGTGTCGGTCAAGTGTAGTGATTGAGTTTTCATTCGTGAGTCAAGTGTGTCAACTGTGAGCACTAAATGTGAAATTGCAATATTGCAATGTCAACACAAACTATATCTGGGCTGTGTTTCTTTTTATAGGAAAAGATATTCAGGTCTTCCTAGTCTTCAGAATAAGTGCTTTCTGTTCCTGAACCTGCTGGACTGGCATTATCAACACAGTGGTGATCTCTGCTTTCTGTCGAACCCTGAACTGCCAAATGATGTTGTCTCCAGATCCAGCAGGGACCAGTCCGTCTACGGAAAGATCAAATCATTGGCGTTGTGAGATGTATAGATGCGTCCCCAGATCGAGACAGGAGAGCTTACTAAACAATAACCGAGGATCTTTGGGTCTCAAAGGAACCACAAATCCTGAGATTAAAGCACAAGCTTGCTGCATCACAAAGAAGAGCTTTTTGTATGTTAATATGGAGACAGAGCATCTCTTTGTTGTGATGTGACTTATCCCCACATTGCCAATATTTTTCTAGGAGGAAATCCAAACCTCTGTGTGACATTGAAGGTGTGTTCCTGGGTTAGCATCTCTCCCTTCTCTGGAGCTCGTCTGAGTTTCTCCGCTGAATCATGACTTCTGGCTCCTCCTCCACTAACGGTGCTTTCTGTTTCTTTCTTTCTGCAATGTTGGAGCTGTTTCTGCTTAAAGTGTAGTCGTGAAAACACGAATTCACCGCTGAGAAGCCATGAAGATGATTGTCCTGAAATCATGAGAAGCTGTTTTTACTGACGGGGGGTTAGCAGCCATGCTAGTGGCCACGAGAAGGCCTCAATTTGGACATATCTCTACACCTATTGGATGAATGACGATGATATTTTGGGTGATCCGTCAATTTTTTTTATCCGCAGCCCCACGTTTAGTGAAATATCTCAACACTAGTTTTGCTAACATTTCAGATATTCGCCACCAGGCCTTTCTTCAGACGTCTCAGTGAAGGATCTCCCGGGACTATATTTTATGACCAGATTCACGTTAGCGTTGCCACTGTTAGCCTGTTAGCATGCTAACTATAGCAATTAGCTCTAACGGAAGAAGCTGCTAGCATGGCTGTAGACTCGTGTTAGGATGACATTCTTAAATAATATTAATAAATGACAAAACTACAATGTGTTCCCGTGCAACAGAACTGCTTTTATAGAGTGCTATGGCTGTCTTAAACGTGGGAATTAAAGTTAAAAAAAAATACAACAAACTACTTCCTGTCTGAAACTAAGCCAGCGTTGAATGGTCCTGAGTTTCCTCCGTTAGATTCAGAGGATTCTCCCGGACGATGCGTTTCTGCTGCGTGGGAACGTGGTTCTGTAGTCGTGAGCGCAGCGGTGAATACGATGTGTGGCGACTTTAAAAACAAGGTGTTACATGTGTCTTTTTTTATCATATCATATTGTACCAACATATCTAACACACCACGTTTTGAGTTTCTGACGTCAGCTGTACAAACTGCCTTCATCAGGAGATCCAGAGCAGAAGAGAGGGTTTCTACGACGAGGACAACAGGAAGTGGACCTTTGTTCCTCCTGATTCTTGATTGTTCGGTTTTAAACGGTTCTCTTTGCCCCCCCCCCCTCTGTACAGTAGGTACCTCGAGTGCCTTTTCTTCAAACAGCAGATAATATTTGTCTCTTGACTTGCACTGTGACTTGTAGAAACCTCCCCCAGCTCTTCACTTCCTCAGGCAACGGAAACATCATTTTCATATTTCTTCGTTTCTTCTCGACCACATTGTGTTTCCTCGTTGTTTTTTATTATTATAGGAGTTGCCTTAAATGTGTTTTATTTTCCTTCCTGAGCGCGGAGAGATCCCAGCCTGGTGGATGTGGTGGATGTGGTGGCGGGGGAATCACTCCAGAGAGAGATTAATGGGATGTTTGACAGCCGGACGTTTGGCGATGCACTTTTTGTTTCGACCAGTATTATTGATATTATTGATATTATTATGGGCGTGTAGGAAAACAAAAAACAAGGATCCGTCATGAATCTAGAGACTCGTTCCCCTCCCTCTTCGTTCCCTCGATGCCGTGGTTCCTCGTCTTGTGTTTCTGGATTTTCTGCTTAAAACAAGCTAACCGCGGCGCGCAGACCTGTCCTAGCATGCCTTCTTATGCAAATTTTATACCAGATTTGTCAAACCTTTTTTAAATATGCATTTGTTTTTTAACTTCTTTTTTTATGTGAAACTCAAGTCACCTTTATTCCGTTGAACATTGTGCAGTTTGGGTGTTTCTCGTTTCTTCCTGACGTCGTGTTTAGACTTTCATTTGGACTCGGCTAACGCACCATGCTGAATGTTTGGGCTGGGCGGGGCTTTTTTTATTGAGTTATCCTATTTGGTCTAAAAAGTGAATTTATCCGAAGAGAACGGCTAAATGCTTTTCTATTGGAAAGCATTTTGAAAAACGAAAGCCCCAAGAGGCGAGGAAAAATAAAAATCTGTTGGTGCGTTTTTTAAGAATCTGATCTGAATTGTTTTATGATTATGATTCAAGAAAATTTCAATGAGTGTTTTGCTAATCAACAAAAAGTGTTTATTTTAAATCCTCTTTGAAACAGGTGGATGAACTCGGCGGTTCCTTTATTTCATCTGTGAAAATAGGTGGAAAAAATAAATGTACGGGTAATTTTAGATGAGTGTTTGTTGTTGTAATACTCATTTTGACCATAAGAGGTTGAAGTACTCTCCTGTTTCAAACACTTGTTCTTCATGGTAGTTTTTAAATCACTTCATGATCTCTAAACACACATACGAATATGTAAATATAATATATACTTCACCTCTTGTGGTTTAAATTAGTATTACATTTAAAATACTGGTTAAAAAATGTTTTTCATAGATTAAAAAATAGGTTTTTATTAGCTTAGTATGTGTTGTTGTAATACTCCTTTTGACCACAAGAGGCTGTGACTTCATGCTCCCTAAACACAATATATAAATATAAAATATACTTCACCTATTATGGATTACATTAGTATTGCATCAATAAAAACTGGCAAAAATAAGTCAAGGATAATTGTATTAGATGAGTGTTTGTTGTTGCAATACTCATTTTGACCACAAGTGGCTGAAATGCTCGCCCATGTCCTTTATACTAAAAAAACAACCTGTTCGTTTTTGTGTTTTTTTAATTACTTAATGCCCTCTAATCACACATACTAATACTTAAATAGAACATATACTTCACCTCTTGTGGTTTAAATTAGTATTACATCAAAGAAACTGGGGGATCACTTAGGGATTGTTGTTGTAATACTCCTTTTGACCACAAGAGGCTGAAGAACTCGCCCATGTTCTTAACACTAAAAAACCTGTTAATTTGTGTGTTTTGTAATGACTTCATGCTCCCTAAACACAATATAGAAATACATACATATAATATATACTTCACCTCTTGTGGTTTAGATTAGTATTACATCAATAAAAACTGCCAAAAAAATTATTAGATGGGTGTTTGTTGTAATACTCATTTTGACCACAAGAGGCTGAAGAACTCGCCCATGTTCTTAACACTAAAAAACCTGTTCATTTGTGTGTTTTGTAATGACTTCATGCTCTCTGAACACAACATAGAAATGAATTAATGTAACATATACTTCACCTCTTGTGGTTTAAATTAGTATTACATCTAAAAAACTGGGGGAAAGTGTGTTCGCTTGGAGTTTGTTGTTATAATGCTCCTTTTGACCACAAGAGGCTGAAGTACTTGCCCATGTTCTTTATATTTAACTATATACAAATACATAAATATAACATATACTTCACCTCTTGTGATATGAGTATTACATCAGTTGCACAATTTAACAAATGGCAACAAAAACAATCTGCTTTTTCCCCACTTGTTTCACAAAAGGAAAAAGATAAACGTAGGAACATTTTAACCTTTTAAGTTCTGAACACAAATGCGTCACCTTTTTATTTTTGCCCCTCCGAGCCTCCGTACATTTTCTGCAATTGATGCATATCGTTTATTATAATTTGACGCTCATCTCGTGGATTCTTTTGAAAGCAGTTCTTTATTTTAACGAACGATCAAGTCCTGATTGTGGCCTTCTAGTATTGTGTGGAGACATCGACCCGCTGTCCATCCCGTCCGGATCCAACTGTTCGCCCCGAGCTTCTTACCTCGTCGTCCACGGCTAATCCATCGGGGGTGTTGAGTGCAACAAAAAAAAAAAACACAAAATAAAGTCTTTTTTTATCTTCCATACGGTGAGGCATTGTAGCGACGGAGAGGTCACCCGGTGTGCTGAATAATGTGTAGGAATTACACACTCTGAATATTTGTATAATTGTTTGTATTTTTTCATAATGATTTTGGAAAGGAATGTGTTTATTTTTTTGACTTGTGTTCCAGACGTGTCTTCTGTTGGCCTGACATGGGGGCGGTCTGCTGGGATTCTTACCTCTGTATTGAGCCTATTCTTCTGTGATGACTTCTTTGTATGCAGTGTTTAGGAAATACTGTGGGGAACAAGGGGAGGAGTTGATATTAGGAGCATTTGATCAATTTGTATTTATTATTTTATCATTTTGTAATAATTGTGAAAA